TGCAGCAACCTCTGTACTATCCAAAGCTCAGGGGCTGCTCTCATTTTTCACCAGCTGGGCACAACAATGATCCTGGAGTCAATGCTATTTGAACACTGTGCTCAACATGGGGCTGCGAACAGAAGCACAGGTGAAGTGTTCACGGGTGACCCAGGGCAATGGGACTGTCCTGCTTATCCTGTGAGTCGCATTTAGAACCCATGTTTGTAGGCAGCATGATACATGTGAGACCATCCATATTGCTTGCAGCCAGAGGAAATTAAAGAATTACACTGAGGTTGATTGGAGAGGGTGATGCTGGCTTTTGTGTATGACTTGTGCAACATTACTGCCTGTGGGTCAGTGAAGGTTGGATACTATTTGGTTAAAGAGATGGCATCCTATTCCATAATCATACCATTTGCAACAAAAGTTAGCTGGACTCTGATAAACTCTCCTTTGCTTTGTTTCTCAGAAGACTCATTTTTGGGGAAGTAGGATTACATCAGACACTTCAGTGCTCTCAGTCACACCAAGATACAGGGGGCTTAAAGAGAAACCCCAGTATCATACCATCTTGGGGAATGCAAATAGTGTGTCTGAACAAAGCAAATGAGCCATCACTCGTTAGGTTAAAAAAATTGTAACCAATTTGCACATAACCTCAAATTCAAGCTAAATAACTAATTAAAAATTCCAGTAATTCTTGATTGCACTTTTCTCTGCTTTAAAGGTGGGTTTATGAGCTTTTTGCATTTTGTGATGCATGAAAAAGATCTGAAAGATTTAGGTAAATGTATAGGCAGGCATTGTTGTCCTTCTGGAATTTTTTTAACTTTAGAAATAACTGAAGCAGGGGTAGGCAACGTTTGTTGGCTAGAGTGCTGAAAAACCACAATGTCTACCTTGGAACGTGCTGGAGTGCCAGAAAAAACAAATTGAGGGCAGGGGGTATGTGGCAGGACACACTGCATATTAGTATAGTTAATAATCATCAATGTTGCCTTTTTTTTTTTACCGTAAATGGCAGATTTTCTAAATATTCTAAACCTGGTGACAATAAATAAAACTTCTTATACTACCTTTGTTCCTGTGTATTTGTTTTGTTAAGCAGGTTGCCAGGGCTAGGGCACTCAGGCCTCTCTGATGGTCCTGGAGTGGGGAAAGCCCGGGCCCAGAGCTGAGAGGGAGGGCCTAGCTGGGTCGTGGGCAGACAGACGCCTCATCCCACCTGGGTGGGGGCAGCACCAGGGTGCCAAGCACTGGGACTGAGCGCTTGGGGCAGGGTCTGGGTACATCCCCCCCAGGCAGGAAAGTCTGTGGTGGAAGGGGATGGAGGAAGGGGAAAGGGCCATGGTGGGTAGTGGCCTTGCTCAGCACTGCACCACATCAGCCACAGCCCCAGCAGGCACGAGCCTTGGCCCCGGTCTCAGCGGGTACAGCGCTGGCACTGGCTGCCTCCTGGTCCCCCTGGTAGGCACAACCCCAGCCCTGGCAGGTGCAGCACTAGTACTGACTGTCTCCTGGCCCCGGCCCTGGCAGGCACAACGCCAGCACTAACTGCCTCCCTGCTCCGGCCTCAGTGGGTACAGTGCTGGCACCGGCTGCCTCCTGGCCCCAGCTCTCCCAGCAGGCATGGCCCTGGCCACAGCGGGCGCAATGCTGGCACTGGCTGCCTCCCGGCCCCGCCAGTGGGTGCATTGCCAGCATCAGCACCAGCTGCCTCCCAGCCCTGGCTCTGGAACCCCCGGCACCTATGGTGCCAATCAAAAATCTCACATGCTAAAGGTCCTACGGACTTTCCTATTGCATCTCTACATGTCTGCAATAGGAAAGTCCATTCCATTTTCTTTCTTTTTTCAAATGTAAGACCTGAGCTCTCCCACTTTATTTCTTCATTATAAGGCCACAATTATTAATGTTTGTCACTTTTGGTATCCCTTCTCATTGTTGAGATCAGCTGCCCAGAAGTAGCAGGTGAAAAATTAGCAAGACAATATGGTAATATTGCCATAGGTTGCTGACCCCTGAACTGTGCCATAGATTGCTGACCCCTGAACTGAAGGGCCAAAGTAGGATATTCAGCTCTTCCCTGTCCCTGATCTTTGTTCAG